AGCTCCCCAATTTTTTCATCCATACGTCGCTGTTGCTCAGACAAGAAATCCTTGACATTTTCTATCGCACGCTGCTGCTGACCAATAGAATCCGATAGAGCATTAATTTTTACCTCATATCTGTCCAGATATTCACGAATCAGACAATAAGCAGGCGACTCGTAAAAGTCTTTGATATTGCTGTGTTTGCTGACGCTACCGGGCTCCTGATTCTGCTGTGGGCGCTGGGGTCTTTCGGCGTCTTCCGGGTCTTCTTCTTCTTCTTCTTCTTCTTCTTCTTCTTCTTCTTCTACGGGTGCTTGAAAGGGATAAATCGGCTGATGTGCACCTCCCTGAGTTGATTCATGATGACCGTTGTTGAAAGCATCTTGTTCACACCATGGATCTGTAATAAAAAGAAATCAAAATATTGTTTAGTATTGACTAATAAATATATAAATAATACTTAACAATAAAATAATATTCATTTGTTTTCATTCAACAGTAATTATGTTTATTATATTGTCATAATCAATTAAATAAATGGATCACTAACCTTCAGATAAATTAAAATTAATAGCAGAAGGATTTGGTTCTGATGGACTGGTATAAGGACTTAGTGGGCTAGCAAGAGGTGTCCATGGATCTGTGTGTGAAAATATGAAAATCATAACGTTACGGCTGTTATTAAGTGTTGAAACAAACAAACAAAAATATGTTATTACCTGATTCTACGTCTTCATCATCATCCTCATCGTCCTCGTATTCTTCTTGCACATGAGTTTCAGAATTTTTTTGCCTTTTATTTACATATGGTGTGTAAACAATTCTTGGTCTCTTAGGGGCAGAAGTCCCCGACGCTGCATCAAACTTTTCTTCTCGCAATGATTCTTGTTGCACCGCAATCTTTTTTTCTTCTTCTTCCACCGTCAAGTCGATAACTTCAATTCTCGCTAAAATAGGTGAATGACAAAAATAAATAAATGCAAGTTATTACTCATTCTTACATTAAACAATGGTGATCTCACATCCGTCAGTGCTGTGGCATATGCTTAGCGCATTCGACCGGTGATCGAGCCTTCTCGCAACAGGAGGTTCGAATCCACCATACATCAAGAAGTTTAATTTATTTTAAATAAAAAGCATACCTTTTTCCGTTTGATTATCAAACGTGTGAGCCGAAGAGGCTATAAGAAAAAGAGAAACGTAAGTAACAATAACGAATAAATAAAAAACTATTGTCTAAATATATTCAAAACAATAAATATAATTATGTAATAATACTTACAAATAGGATTGATGGCATCAAAGGCGTCACTTTCGGAAGAATTTATTTCTGTAAGACATAAGCTGTAAGAATGAAAATATACCAAACACTGATTAATGAGGTAGTATACAAACCGCTAACCAGATGAATAATATATTAATTTCTACTCACGCAATTCCATATCTTGTTCAGAAGTGGCAGAGTTGACCCTCTTCAGAAGTTCCAGACGTTATAACAGTGTAACTGAGGATTCAAGTTTACTGTGAAAAAGCTCTGTAAAGGGGCCCCTTTTTATGTCAAATGTCAAGAGGCGTTGTCTAACGGTCAACATTTTTTCCTTATCACCTAACAAAATATAGTATTTAGTGGGAGACACCCAACATATACAATCAGATATACATATTCTACAGTTGATACAAATCTATCTTTTACAAACAGTTGATGGGTGTTGTCTAACGTTTTCCTTATCACATACAGTCAGTATGTTCATACCACCATGGAGACAACATCATATGGGTAAGTGATGCATTTAGTATAATTTATTAAATATATTATAATATAATAATTAAATAATGAATTTAATAACAGTAATTTAATTACCGTTATTATTATAATATTAATTTTATTTCAGATTGATTAGAATTTAATTACCAATATTTTCATTACCTGGAAATAACCTATTATTTTATATTAAAACGATAAAAATCTAATTACCGGAATCAATAATTTAATTAGTCTGATAAAAATCTAATTACCGGAATTATTATTTTATATTAAACCGATAAGAATCTAATTACCGGAACTATAAAGTTTATATAAAAGGGGCGGGGCTTAGACCGGAAGTCCCGCCTTAGGGGCGGGGCTACAATCCATCAAACTTTTTGACAGGTGGTACCCTATAAATCTCTCTCTGACAGCTGTTTTCATCAGACGGCCTTCATCCAAACAAGCTTGGTGCAAAAGTGCTGAAAGACAACATCCTCTTTTCCCTTCATCATCCATCAGCTGTGTATGCCACTGAACTGAATGACACACACACACCTAGCAAATGTCCGGATGACCACAGGACTTCAAATCAGCTCCTGAGTGGACTTGTGGCTGACGCATCCTACAAGGACAGA